TCCGGTAGGTGCTACTAGCGCTGGTGAGGCGTTTGGCGCCATCAAGGCTGGCGCCTTGAGGCAGGCGCCTTGGCGCCATTTTCGCTGGCGCCTTGGCGCCATTTCGCTGGCGCCTTGGCGCCTTTTTCGCTGGCGCCTTGGCGCCCTTTTCGCTGGCGCCTTGGCGCCTTTTAGCTGGCGCCTTTGCGAATTATTCGCTGGCGCCTTGGCGCCTTTTTCGCTGGCGCCTTGATCGCTGTAGGCACTGGCGCCAAAGCGCGAAGGCTGCATCGTCCTTGCTTCGTGTTTACTCACGTTTGTCACTCTCGCTGTTTCCCTCCCTTCTCATGCCCCATCCAGTCCTCTACACGTACACCTTTCTGTATTGTTGCACACCAATTGCTGATTTCGTGCCTCTTTCTTCCCCCCACCAATCACTTCCATGATCCATCCCCTCCTCTAAGCTTCTATTTTAAACTTCGTTGCAAGGTTAATTTTTAATTTCATAAAAATTTCACATCATTTATTCTCTCTAACCTCCCCTTTCCGATATGCCATTCCTTCTCCCCACTCAGCTTTGTCCCCAACAAGTGGCTAACATGGCCACCTTCCGCTTCTGTCCGCCCTGCGCCAACCTGTTCCCATTTGAGTTTCATATGCGCCTTTTTAGGCCACTTTTGCGTGAGCTAGTAGACGTAGCTGCGTGTGTGAGTTCGCGCAAAGGAGAGTAAGAAGATAAGTGTTTGAGTGAGTGCGAAGGTGCATGTGTGGCTGAGGTCAAGCGTGAATGCTTGTGTGAGCGCATGGATGAGTGTGGTTGAGAGCGTGAGTGAGTGCGAGACTGAGTGCATGGCTGAGTGGTGGCTGAGTGAGTGAGGGAGTGCGTGGCTGATTGCAATGGTGAGCGCGAGAGTGAGTGCGTGTGTGAGTGAGTTGTTGAGTGCGATTGTGAGTGTATGAGTGGGTGTGTGGCTGAATGCAAAGTTGAGTGTTTGGTGAGTGCGTGGGTAAGTGCGTAGGTGAGTCCGAGAGTGAGTGCAACGGTGAATGCGATGGCGTGACAAAGCGCGAGTGAGTGCTAGGCTGAGTGAGTGAGTGAGCGAGTGCGTGGGTGACTGCAAAGGTGAGTGAGAGGGTGAGTGCCGTCTTTCTGCGTGAGGGAGAGGTTGAGTGCAAGGGTAAGTGCGTGAGCGAGTGTGTGGCTTAGTGTGGCTGAGTGCGAGGGTAAGTGCTTGGCCGAGGATGAGTGTGTGACTGAGCGCAACGATGGGTAAGTGGCTGATTGCCTGGGTGAGCAAGTGTGTGGTTGACCGTGAGTGAGTGCGAGTGCGAGTGCGAGGTGAGTGCGAGGGTGGGTGCGAAAGCAAGTGCATAAGTGAGTGCGTGGATGCACGAGTGAGTGCATGGCTGTGTGCGAGAGTGGTAGAGTGAGAGAGTGAGTGAGTGAGTGGGTGAGTGAGTGGGTGAGTGCGTGAGTAGCTGAGTGCGAGAGCGAGGGTAAGCGCTTCAGTGGGTGTGCGGCTGAGTGTAAGGATGAGTGCATGTGTGAGTGTGAGGGTAAGTGCGAGCGTGAGTGCGTGCGTGAGTGCGTAGGAGAGAGCATGGCCGACTGCAAGGATGAGTGCGTGATTAAGTGCGAGAGTGTGTGCGTTGCTGATTGCGAGAGTGAGTGCGTGATGGGTGCGTGGCTGGCTGCGTGATTGAGTGCGTGGGTAAGTGCGTGGTATGGTGCATGGCTGAGTGTGTGGTCGAGTGAGTGGCTGAGTGCGTGGCTGAATGAGAGAGTGACTGCTAGGCTGAGTGAGTGAGCGAGTGCGTGGTGGAATGCAAAGGTGAGTGAGGGTGGGTGCTTAGTGTGTGCTCGAGGGCGGGAGAGAGTGCGAGAGTGAGTGCAACGGTGAGTGCAAGGGTGAGTGCAAGGGTGAGTGCGTGAGTGAGTGTTTGGCTTAGTGTGAAGGTGAGAGATTGGCTGAGAGAAGTGTGTGGCAGTCTGCAAAGGTGTGTGAGAGGGTGAGTGCATGGGTGCGTGAACGAGTGCAAGGGTGGGTGCGAGGAAAATGCGGGATTGATTGCACGATTGTGGAAGTGAGTGCGTGACTGAGTGCGGTGTGTGAATGCGTGGCTGAATGTGTGGGTGAATGCGAGGACGAGTGTGTAACGGAGTGCAAGTGTGAAAGCATGATTGAGTGCAAGGGTGAGTGAGTGATGGAGTACGAGAGTGACTGCGAGAGTGAGTGCTAGGCTGAGTGCGTGGCTGAGTGAGTAAGTGAGTGCGTGGCAGACTGGAAATGTGAGTGAGAGGGTGAGTGCGTGCGGGAGTGCGAAGGTGAGTGCGTGAGGTGAGTGATTGGCTGATTGTGAATGTGAGTGATTGACTGATTGTGAAGGTGAGTGATTGACTGATTGTGAAGGTGAGTGATTGACTGATTGTGAAGGTGAGTGATTGACTGATTGTGAAGGTGAGTGATTGACTGATTGTGAAGGTGAGTGATTGACTGATTGTGAAGGTGAGGATTGGCTGAGAGTGAGGGTGAATGCGAGGGTGAGTGTGTGTCTGAGTGCGATGATGAGTGAGTGGCTGAGCGTGTGAGTGTGTGATTAAGTGCTTGGCCGACTGCGTGATTGAGTGCGTGACTGAGTGCGAGGGTGGATGCGTGAGTGAGTGCGTGGGTGCATGAGTGCGTGCATGGTTGAATACGAGGGTGAGTGCGCGAGAGTGGCTGAGTGGGCTAGCGCGTGGCTGAGTGACTGAGTGTGAGAGTGAGTGACTGGGTGAGTGCGTGGTTGAGTGAGTGGGAGAGTGAATGAGTGGGTGAGTACGTGGTTGAGTGAGTGAGAGAGTGAGTGAGTGGGTGAGTGGGTAGGTGAGTGCATGGAGCTATTTATGGAAATGAGTGTCGCTTCCTGCGCTGGCGCTTAGAGTGCCGGCTTCTAAGGTTTTGGCGCCTCAGACGCTCGTCAGGCTGGTGGCAACTAGTGAGCTAGCGCCTAGCACGCTCGCGCAGCGGGCTCCAACGTCTGGGCACAAGCACCTAGTGCTGAGCCCTGTGGAGCTCGTACCTGAAGCACTAGCGTCATGGCCTTGGACGCCTAGCTACCAAACCTGGGACGCTTACTGCTTAAGGCGGACGGGTGAGTTGCCGCGCGCTGGCGCCTTTCTAGAGCCCATCGGCACCTCGCAACGTGCTCGTGCACTACAGTGCACTGGCACGTTTCTGCTATGCGTTGATGCCTTCTGCAATGCATGTGAGGGAATGTGATTTGTATTTCTTGCTTGGCCTCCTGTAAGAGCATATCCTATTTTTGCTTTCTTGTACGCAGTGTATGAACATCCACTGATTTTTGTGCAAGGTGTGTTTTGCTTTCTTTGTTCTTTCTTTCTTGTGCAGAGCGTGTGTGTGTTGACTTCCCTGTTTTCTCCTGGGCGTGTTGACTTCTCTGATTTTGCAGGGCGCGTGCGTGAGCTGAGAAGGGAGATGAGGGAGTGGGATGGAGATGAGGGAAGGAGGGAGGGAGGGCTGTAAGGTGGGATAGGTTAGCAATTATTTATTCCGAATTTTATTTATGACGGTTGTGTGTTTATTACGGTATCTGTATCTCTCTGTGCTTGTTTGCGTGTGTGTACATGTCTGTTCGTTCTGTTTGTTTCACTGTGGGGTTGCTCTTCGATCCGTTCACAACTGTTACGTGGTGTTGGACATTTTTTACGTGCGTTTGCATTCGTATTTGTGGGATGTGTGTTTCAAAGTGTGGTGTTATTGTGTGTCATGCATGCAAGTAGAGGTTGTTAATCGTCTTTGGGGCAGCGGGTTTCCGCTGTTTCAACGACCCCATCAACCTCTGGTTCTGCATGATGCATTTAAACATTCATTTTGAAGCATCCATTCCACCTCATACCTCGTTGTTCATTCGTTCGTGTTGATGCCAGAATATTATGCTCGGTCGTACGATCCGCCGTATTTATCGACGAGGTTGGGACGGTCGAGCAAGTTCTTGGTTTCAACATGATACGTACGTGCGTTTCGGTATTTGGTTTTACATATGGGGATCTCATTCAAGGGTGTTTTTTATCCATTATTTGAGGCATCCGTTTGAACACAGTTTCAAAACTTTCAAACGGGTGCTCCAAAAAGTGCGTAAATACACTCTTCAAATGATATCCCCAAAATGTGAAACCAAATATAAAGGGTTGCTACGCAACCCAAAAACAGGAGTGTGCAAAGTTGGACCCGCCCTAAAGATCCAGAGAGATGTCGTTGTAGTCGTTCTGTAGTGAACTCTTTGCTATGTAAGGTCCTTACAGAAACCACGCTTCCCCACATTACATTGATCACACAAATTCCACCCCACTACTCTCCTGACGTGTTACACTCACATTCGCGGAAAGCTTGGCCTGCCACTTGATTGGTGCGTGCAGTTGTGGAGAAACATGTTGAATCGTCATGATTTGGATTTCGGTATGCTATTTCACCAATCAGCTTCAAATATGCCCCCATCAAGATCCCCAGGCCAGGGTTTGAGGGGCCCAAGCGACATCATGCTGGTGTGGACCAGCCACGCGAAGTAAGACGAAGATCCCAGCCGGAACACCACTTCGACCGCTCCCACCATTCACCGTGCCACAACGATCCCCACCCCATTAGCGAAACCAGCGAAGTGTTGCCACCATTCCACAGCAATTGGTTGGAAGGTCACCCAAGAAAACTACTTTTCCTGCGATTGGCCGTATTCGGATTGCGCTAATTGGGGACCACAGATGCTGCAGATTTTTTTATCGGAGGATCGCGAACAGAGCACGGCCTCCGCACTCAACCAATCACATTGCGCCTGGGCCCAAAATCCCCCCCTCTAGCCTATCCAGTCCTCAGCTCAAACAGCCAGACCCTCACAGTTCAAGAACTCGACTTCAGGAAGCTAATCAACAGAAGTAGCTTCAGCTCAGCAGAAGCAGCAACTCCAAACTCCAGCTTCCAGTATTCACTTAGCGCAGCTTTTTCCGAGGCATCTGTTATCCATCTAAAATGGCTGCTCTCGCGAACGCCGCTGTGCTCCCTTCCACCTTCGTCGGCCAGAGCGCTGAGCTCGCCGCCAAGGTGAACAATGTGGACGCCCGCGTGACGATGAGGAAGACCGCCAAGGCGGCTTCCAGCAGCGCCTTCTACGGCCCCGACCGCAACCTGTTTCTGGGCCCCTTCTCCTCCCCCCCGTCGTACCTCACCGGCGAGTACCCTGGCGACTACGGCTGGGACACGGCGGGTCTGTCCGCTGACCCTGAGACGTTCGCCAAGAACCGCGAGCTGGAGGTGATCCACGCTCGCTGGGCTCTGCTCGGCGCGCTCGGCTGCCTGACTCCCGAGCTCCTCGCCGGCAACGGCGTGAACTTCGGCGAGGCGGTGTGGTTCAAGGCCGGCGCTCAGATCTTCTCCGAAGGCGGCCTTGACTACCTCGGCAACCCCAGCCTGATCCACGCGCAGTCCATCCTGGCCATCTGGGCCACCCAGGTGATTCTGATGGGCGCCGTTGAGAGCTACCGCGTGGGTGGCCTTGAGGGCTTCCAAGAGGTGGAGGACCCCCTGTACCCCGGCGGTGCCTTCGACCCCCTGGGTCTGGCCGACGACCCCGACGCCCTCGCTGAGCTGAAGGTTAAGGAGCTGAAGAATGGCCGTCTCGCTATGGTGTCTATGTTCGGCTTCTTCGTGCAGGCCATCGTCACCGGCAAGGGTCCCCTGGAGAACCTCTCCGACCACCTGGCTGATCCCACCGTGAACAACGCCTGGGCCTACGCCACCAACTTCACCCCCGGCGCTTAGATCTAGTTTCTTAAAACCTGTACATTCCTTCTTTTCATTAATATATTTTCGCACAACCTTACACAATATGTCCATGCCAGTTGCACCTTGTGTCAACGATCTCTCTAATGATGCAAACAGCATTTGGGACAGCGATAATCGCATCCGCTCATAATGATGGGCGTGATGTCCAAGCACAACATATTCATTATTCGCGTCGAGCTTTGCCTCAGGGATTTGTTCATTGAACCCACGAGATTACCAACGGACTGATCATGCTCATACTGTATGCAATGCTCAGTTAATACGTTCCTGTCACATACCATAAAATTACTTATGATGTTTCGTGTACCTGACTTTTGTCGCTCCCAGATCCAGTGCCTGAGTGATGAACTCTAACCACAACCAAAAGGAGTGGCAAACGAAAATGCTAGGATGCTGAAAGCTGATTACGAGTGCAGTTCTGCATAGTATTGTACATACTGTTTTTGTTTTTCCGCTAGGTATCTTTAGATGGATTTAGTTACCACCCAGTAGTGAGGAATATGGGAACCTTACCATACATTCAGTGTAAGGAATTCGACAGCTACACATACTTCTCACCCAAGTTACGAGGGAGGTTACCTAACTCAGGGGTATTTTACTGAGTTCCATGACCGAATCTTCCGAGAGAACAAGGGTAGAGCAGTTGAGAGCAGACGGTAACTAGCGCAGTTGAGAGAGTATAACAAGCGCAGTTGAGAACATGTAACTAGCGCAGTTGAGAACATGTAACTAGCGCAGTTGACTAACATTTCAGTTGCGCTGTCGGAATCAGAGTGTCCAGCGAACAAGTTCTGTAGGTTGAACAAAAATATATTATCGGAAGAAAAAGGAATGTACAGGTTTTAAGAAACTAGATCTAAGCGCCGGGGGTGAAGTTGGTGGCGTAGGCCCAGGCGTTGTTCACGGTGGGGTCGGCCAGGTGGTCGTTCAGGTTCTCCAGGGGGCCCTTGCCGGTGACGATGGCCTGCACGAAGAAGCCGAACATCGACACCATGGCGAGGCGGCCATTCTTCAGCTCCTTAACCTTCAGCTCAGCGAGGGCGTCGGGGTCGTCGGCCAGACCCAGGGGGTCGAAGGCACCGCCGGGGTACAGGGGGTCCTCCACCTCTTGGAAGCCCTCAAGGCCACCCACGCGGTAGCTCTCAACGGCGCCCATCAGAATCACCTGGGTGGCCCAGATGGCCAGGATTGACTGCGCGTGGATCAGGCTCGGGTTGCCGAGGTAGTCAAGGCCACCCTCGGAGAAGATCTGCGCGCCGGCCTTGAACCACACCGCCTCGCCGAAGTTCACGCCGTTGCCGGCGAGGAGCTCGGGAGTCAGGCAGCCGAGCGCGCCGAGCAGAGCCCAGCGAGCGTGAATCACCTCCAGCTCGCGGTTTTTGGCGAACGTCTCGGGGTCGGCGGACAGACCAGCAGTGTCCCAGCCGTAGTCGCCGGGGTACTCGCCGGTGAGGTACGAAGGGGGGGAGGAGAAGGGGCCCAGGAACAGGTTGCGGTCGGGGCCGTAGAAGGCGCTGCTGGAAGCCGCCTTGGCGGTCTTCCTCATCGTCACGCGGGCGTCCACATTGTTCACCTTGGCGGCGAGCTCCGCGCTCTGGCCGACGAAGGTGGACGGGAGCACAGCGGCGTTCGCGAGAGCAGCCATTTTAAGAGACTGAAGGTGCCTCGAAACAGAAGCTGTGGCTGAAGTATTACCGGGGATGGTGAATAGAGATGTTAGACTGTGATGAGAAACAAGAATGACGTGAGCTTTGTAGGTGTTCTGCCAGTGTTGCTGGTTAGGAGATGGAGGAAGTTGGATTCGGATAGGGTTGCGGGAGTTGGATGTGTTGGTCTTAGCGGCTTCTGATTGGCTGCCTACGATCGCGAACCGCGTGGCGGAGGAAGCGTTTTTGGCATTCCGAATGGATGCGTTGCGTGGTAACGAAACTCGAGTTCGGGCAATCGCAATGGGTTCGCTCATTTCGTGAAGTACCTTTGTGGTCCGCTGCAAGTGTACCATCTGTGGCTATTGTAAGATTGCGAATCGGCAGCGACGCTTGGCGCAGAATGACTTCCCAGATCGTGGGGATTTTTGTGTACTGGCGAAGGCCTGTTGAGCAATGAGCACACGTTATGCCATCTCAACACGTCACCAACAAATCCAGAGCAGGGAGTTTAGCGGACCAGCATTGAGCCAGTTCTAGTAAGCGAAGAGTTGTGAAACGTCCCTGAGGTGTACAAGGCCACTTAGTATAGAGTCAGCACTCATTTTGATAAATGATTACAGGCCTGCCCTACTCATGGCCTGTGTCTTGGAGAACAAATTCTGTTGCTCCACAGAAAATAAAAAGATGACTGCGCGATATAATGAAATGCAATTTTAGGTGTAGAATAAACAGTGATTGCTGTGGTGGCCAGGCTAGTCTTCATGGACATGTGCTGCTTCTTTCTCGGCAGATAGAGCAAATATGTCACAGATGACCTCCAATGGCAAGCCCTTTGTCTCTGGGACCTTGAGGAAAACGAAGAGCCACGAGATCATGCTCATTGTGCAAAAGATGGCAAAGACCCCAGCAAGACCAAATCTTGCTTGAAGTAGAGGAAACGCCTGGCTGACACCAATGTTACACAGCCACATAGCAGCACCACACAGACCAATGCACAAGCCGCGAACAGGGGTGGGAAATATCTCAGAGCAGATGATGTTGGGAATTGGTCCAAGGCCCATTACGAAAGCACAGCAAAATATTGTGACCCCTGCTAGCGAGCAGGCTGATTGCGCCAATCCTGGACCAAGTGAAGTTGACGAAAACACGAGAAGTGCCAAGGATGCTCCAATAACAGGGGTGGTGTATAGAAGAAGTTGCCTGCATAACAAAACATATGGTTTTTGCTGAGCATGATGCAAGTGAGTGAAAAGGCACATATCATCAGCACATCATAGCACATACCTTCGACCCAAAGAATCCATGAGCAACATAGCTGCAAAGATGCAGGGCAGCATAAGGAAAGCTGTAACGCCACTTGCCAACATGGATGACGATTCCGCTGTCAATCCATAATTCTCCAAGATGCTAGCCCCAGAGGACATGAGAATGGTAGGGGTGTAATACAGCACCGCATTGATTCCACACGCCTGTGAACAGGAAATATCAGATCAGTTAGGAACAAAGATGATGCAATTTAATGCTGACACCATTTCTTACCTGCTGGAGCACTTGAAGACCAACCCCTACAACAAGGGCTTGCTTCACACCAGGTTCTTTTAGACTGCTAAATCCTCCTTCAGCACCCTCTGATTTTGATGGATGCACCATGGCCGGGCCTTCTGTGTCACCCTCGAGAGGCGCCAATGAATTCTGCTGACTGACAAGCACAGACACCTGAATACCATCATCACTAAGAAGTTGAGTAGAGTCGGACAATGATTGCCTGAAATTTTGCTGCAGGATGTAGACCCTCTTCATCTCATCGTGACTCTGATTGTTTGGCTTTTCATCATCTCCCTCCACCTGACTGGAACCACCCTCAACTTGCCACATCAGCTGCCACCCGCCACCCAGGGACCCTGCTGTAGCTGTGGACGTCTGGTAACTGTTGTTGATGTCTAACGATGTCAACGAGGCCAGTGGTGGAACAGATGAAAAGACAGACTCCAAAACAGAAGACTGTCGCGAAAACTCCACAGAACTGTTGTCGGATGCACACGCAAGAAGTGGCGCTTGCAGGCTCTCAATATCAGAAGGAAGAACCGATTTCTCCTCCCCTGAAGAATTCTGGGATGGCCATGAGGATTGCATATTCTCGTTGTCTGTAATGGCCAGATCACTTGCTCTTTGAATGTTGTCCATCTGTGTAACTAAGTTGTCAACTGGAAGGCTTCCAGATAAGAAAATGGTGGATGAACGCGAGGGAAGAGCAGCTTCTTCATTCTCAGCTGTATCTGCAGCCGGACAAGCCATCCACTCACAACTCGAGTCCGGCCCAATCAACTTGACGGGTGCGATTGAATCGTGGTTTTTGTTTATATAATCTTCATCCACGGGCTTAATGACCCACTCCTCCAAAGAGATGTCACGGGAAAGTCCGAGGCCCTCGACTAATACAGCCAGCTCACCTGGCGAAAAACGTGTAAGATGAAGCTGATCACTCATATGTGTGAGCATTAGCAAGTTAGTAAGGGCTCAGCTTACCCGAAACATCTTGAGAACCGCGAAGGTACTGCAGAACAAGTCGTGCTTCTGCCATTCGACCCTTGCTGACAAGCCATCTAGGTGACTCGGGAAGCACAAGAAATAGTGCTAGAATGTAGAGGAGCGACGGTCCACATCTGAAATCAGGTGACGGATTTCAGCCACAGACGGAATGAGAACAAAACGAGATGAGAAAACAAGTGAGATTTCTTACTCGATTCCAAGGATGAGTCTCCAATCCGTGTGTGGGGATAAGGAAAGGACAAATGAAACTGCATACGAAATGACCATAGCTCCAATTCCCATCAGCTGAGGAAGCGTGGCCAGCTGGCCACGGATTTCGGGTGGTGAGCATTCTGATATAAAGATTGGAGCGACTGTGGCAAAGAATCCAATGCTGAGTCCGACTAGGCTTCTGCCTGCGACAAGGTACTCCACGCTAGGGGACCACCCGCTGATTGCAGCTCCTGAAACAAAGCACCTTATTGAATATCGGTGCTGTATTCAAGCATATCACTATCCAAAAGAGTCGCATCTTACCTGAAAAAAACGTGAAAGCCGCAATCATAAGGACAGATTTTCTGCCGATCAAGTCCGCAAAACTTCCAGCGATTAGAGTACTGAGTACGGAACCTGCGTTTATTCTCAAATTGTCAGAATCAGGACAACTACAAGAACGTGGGATTCATCAGAGTTACAAACCCAGCAAAGATGCAGTCACGATCAATCCGACCGCAGTTGGAGACAGATGGAAATCAGGCACCACGTAGAGGAGCGACCCTAAGAAATAGAGGTCCAAGTCATTCACGATGGCCAGGTGTTCCAAATAATGACAAAATAAAAGCTTCACGCACCTGCTATCGCGGCATTGTCCCATCCTTGGAGCCCATTACCAAGAGCAGCACAAATTGCCACGATCAAGGCTCCAGATATCATTGCCCTAGACTTCTAATCAGCCTTGCAAGCGTGAAAACTTCGAACGGAATGATGCCGCTGTAGGCAAAATCATTACCTTTCAGGAATTCTTCAGAATTCTGGTCTGAGTAATTGAGGGCGCGTCCCCTCCCTCGATCGATCGCGCGATCGCTGTGAAAAACCGATCGGGCACACCGATCGCAGGATTGGGATGGGATTGGTGGGAGGTGACAACAGCGGATCGATCTCGATCCCTGAGTGACAGGATCGAGAATACAAGGGGCAAAAAACCCTCGATCCTTCTAAAGCCGAGATCGGTGTGGCCACGAGGGCACATCGATCGTCATAGCAGAGGTGACAAGATCGTTAGGCACAAGTTACTGTAGATTCGCAAGTTCTCTCGAAATCTGGTTACCTTGTCGATCGCGCAACTGTAGCTGTTCTCGATCGATCGAGGGCAGGATCGATCGAGGGAGGGGACGCGCCCTCATGTTGTCCTGCATTTGAGCTACATCATTCTAATATCGAGGATGCTTCGATTCAGTGCAAGATGCTTCAGCTGCGAAACATTGTACAGTTGATTACGCGAATTGCAGCCAGCACTCTCAACAAACCGGGATGATTAAATCAACTTGTACAGTAACATGAATTCCACTTATAACAATCGATCTACATCTATTACATGGTAATTGGTATTAATCATCTTCTGGTAGTACGTTGTGTAAGAAGGAAGATGTAGCATGCAATGCGGAAAGTCATTGCAAAGCCCAATAGCACAAGTAGGTCAAGCCACTTAGATTGCCCAGACAAGCCTGCCGCCTCAATAATCTGAGAGGACAACAGGGGAAGGATCAGGAAAACAAAATGAGCACTACTGTTACATACATACAGAGCAAATTGTGAGGTCAGATGTAAGAACCAGAGCAACAAGCATGGCCATTGATGATTGACATCACTCACCTGTGATCCTGTGCCTGCAAGCCCGAAGGTGGTGTCACTATGGCTCCCGTACTCGTTAATTATGAGAGCATCCAAGGGGTACTTGAAGACTGACAGGTAGTGCATCCAGATCCAGTATGAAGGGATGTACTGTAGGGGATAATGTGAAAGGGACGGGACAATAAGGGTGTGACAGTAATGCTAAGGTGCACGCTTGAAGGTGGTATCGCTATGGCTCCTTTACTCGTTGAGCATCCAAGGGGTACTTGAAGACTGACAGATAGTGCATCCAGATCCAGTACGAGAGGACGTACTGTTGGGGAGACAAAAAAAAAGAGAATGCAGCAAATGGATGTAGCGGTCTGGTGTTATAAAAGTAAAGCATAGCGGATAATGTGAGCCCTCCCATTTCCAGGACACGTGCATGCAAGTGTCGGTGTCCAGCAATGATCACAGCATGAGTGCAGTGGAAGAAATTGAATAATTGGGAAAATTCTGTAATTTCCCATATTTCAATGCCTTAGCCACTTACCTTCTTGGCAATGAAGTAGCCTGAGAAGAGGAAGAATGCCCCCATGAGGCCAGCAATCATGGAGTTAGCTGTGATAAAGTCAGGTGCCATGGCCCTGAGACAAGGGAACAACCCACATGCACAGGAGGCAACACACATAACAGGAAGCATATAAACAATCAGGGATACAGGGGTGAAGAAAGAAGCCCCCCATGAGGCCAGCGATCAGGGAGTTAGCTGTGTTGAAATTAAGCACCATCGCACTGACACAAGGGAACAACCACATGAGGAGTTACGCGAAACTCGCATGCATCAAGAGGCGCTTGATGAAATACTCACAAGGGAACAATCACATGGATTACGCGAGGAAATACTTACGCGATGCAGGCAACGATTGCATGGGCTAAGATCAGCACGGCCCAGACGAGGAGGAAGAAGAGGAAGGCGGAGAGGGAGGCGTGCAGGCCGACTAGGAGGAGGACAAAGGGAGAGACCACGAGGATAGAGAGGGGTTGGGTATGGTTTCTGAGGGACTTACGCGATGCATGCGACGATGGCATTGGCGACGATCAGCACCGCCCAGACGACCAGGAGGAAGAAGAGGAATGCGGAGAGGGAGGCGTGCAGGCCGACAAGGAGGTAGGCTGGGATGGAGTAGAGGAGGGCGAGGAGCAGGAGAAATGGCAGAAACACCGCCACACTGCGAGGGAGTGAAGTGAGAGTTGGTTGGGGGGAGAGAGGGGGAGAAAGGGACGGGGGGAAGGATGGAGGGCGGATTTTTTCACTGGCATTGTCCATGTGAGGTCACTGAAGCAGCTACCCATGGCAAAACCGATGGGTACACAAAAATAAGCGCTGCGTATAGCGAAACAACTTTCTATATAGAAATTGCTGCTTATAGCAAAACAAACTGCGTGTAGCGAAACAGCTGAAATATGGCATATCACTAACCTAGCGATGGCATACGAGGATATGCGGTAAGCGCCTCTTGACGTTTCTCGGAGAAAGATTTGCCTCTCCTGTAGATGTAGGGATATTGACAAGAGATAAGAAATTTTGCTTCAAATTTGTATGGTGTGTTGGGATGAAAGAAAAAGGCCTTGACATAAATGCCCTGACACCCTAAACCCTTAACCCTTAAAAAAAAGGCATGACGGTAAGTGTGGCCATGGAGTCATGGCAGGTATGTGAGGAGCACTTGCCTCAAGAAACACAGGCAGGGCTTCGACAGACGAGGTGAGCAGGAAGGCGAGAGAGAAGGCAAAGAATCCCATGCGTTCCTGAGGAGAGGGAAGGGGGGCAATGGGGAGAATGGGGTGGAGAGGAAGAGTGGCGGGATGAAGACATAGGGCTTCAACGGACGAGGTGAGCAGGAACGCGAGAGAGAAGGCAAAGAATCCCATGCGTTCCTGAAGAAAGCAGAGAATGGAGAGAATGGAGAGAATGGGGAGAATGGGGAGAATGGGGAGAATGAGGAAAATGAAGAGGATGGGGAAGGAGGATGTTTTCCCCATTCTCCCCAGTCTCCCCATTCTACCCATGCGCCCCATGCGCCCCATTCTCCCCATTCCTGTATTCCGTCCGTCCCCACGTCTATCCCCTGAGGGTTGGACGGCAGGTGAAGAAAGGGAGTCCTCAAGCAGAAAGCAGTGAAGTCAACCTGAGAGGCCCTTTGCTTTCAACTGTTTTTACCTCTCTCCCCAGTTTCCAATTTCCCACAAGCTCCTCACCGCCACTCTCAACCCCTCCTCACCCTCGCCTCACCTCTATCCCCTGGGGGTTGGACGGCAGGCGAAGAAACAGCATTCCCAGGCAGAGAGCAGTGAAGGCGATCTGAGACAGAACTTGCTTGCATCTGGTTTTGTTAAAGAATCCCCACCCCTCCCTCACCTCTATTCCCTGAGGGTTGGACGGCAGGCGAAGGAAGACTGTTCCCAAGCAGAGAGCAGTGAAGGCGACCTGAGACGTCCTACCTTCCCTGTTCCCCCTTCCCCATACTCCCCAACCCCATCCCCTCCTCACCTCTATCCCCTGAGGGTTGGACGGCATGCGAAGGAAGAGAGTCCCCAAGCAGAGAGCAGTGAAGGCGACCTGAGACGCCCTCCCTCTTCCTATTCATGCTCTTGCAATCCCTTGCAAGTAACCCATCCCCTCCTCACCTCTATCCCCTGAGGGTTGGACGGCAGGCGAAGGAAGAGAGTCCCCAAGCAGAGGGCAGTGAAGGCGACCTGAGACGCCCTCCCTAGACACAGCTCTGGGGTCCTGGCCATGTTCTGAAGGAGGGGTTGGTATGGGGAGAAATTATGAGCTAATGGAGACGGAAATCAAGAGCTGGAGTTGAGACGTGATAACAAGCAGTGAAGGCGACCTGAGACGCGCTACCCAGACGTAGCTCTGGGGTCCTGGCCATGTTCTGAGAGCGCACAAGGGAATAGAGAGCAAAAGGATGGTGAAGGAAGGAGAAGTACTATTTTCCATGCTACCACTCCCACATGGGATGGCAGGGAAGAGAACGAGATGGGTTGGGAAAGAAGGAACGTGCCTTGAAGTTGCGGCAGCTGAGCCACCAGATCTCGTGCAGGGGCGATGTGGCATACTGGGGCAGAAGGGAACCAGGTTCACTCCCCGTATGGCTGCTCTCGCTTCCGCTGATGCTGCTGCTGCTGTCACTGTCACTTCCGCTGCCACTGCAGGTGCTGCTGCTGCCACTGCTGTTGCCGCGGATCGAGATCGGAACATCTTGGAATGGTGAGGATGGAGGCGAGGAGGACGGAGTGGGTGATGAGGAAAGCGGAAGCTCGTGAAAAGCATGGCCTTTGGTAAGAGTATCAACACCCGTTTCACCCTCAGCACCAGGAGCAGCAGCGCCAGCAGCAGCAGCAGCGACAGCGGCACCAGTACCGGACTCGCCATGGAAATACACGTTCCCAGCTGCTGCTGCTGAATGCTGCTGCTGCTGAAGTAGCTTCCACAGCCCACTGCCACTTGACTGCTGGGAAGTGGAAGCAGGGGAGGCACAGTGAACAAGAGTAAAGAGAAAAGGCTGATGGGCTGATTTTCTAGTAGAGGCTCCACAGCACCCTGCCGATTGACTGTTGATGGAAGTGGTAGTGGAGCCAACAGTCAACCAGCAGAGTGCCTGCAGAGTGGACAAAATTCAGTCCTCTGTTGCCCCAAGGCAACGAGTGAGAGCTTGAACTCGAGAAAGAACTGTACAGCCCTCTCTCGTTGCATGGGGGCTGTGCAGCCCCCATGCGGATCAACTTTGCAACTTTGCCCCCATGCCCTCCATAGCAGATCCAAGTGCGTTGACCCCATGCGAGTCAACTTTGCCCCCATGCCCTCCATAGCAGATCCAAGTGCGTTGACCCCATGCGAGTCAACTTTGCCCCCATGCCCTCCATAGCAGATCCAAGTGCGTTGACCCCATGCGAGTCAACTTTGCCCCCATGCCCTCCATAGCAGATCCAAGTGCGTTGACCCGCATGGGCACAGTACAGCCAGCAGCAGCAAGGCGGGCCTCGAGCAAAGAGAAAGGAGCAACGCAAGGAGACTCTTCAAATTAACTCAAGAGTCTGATGACAACAGAAAGAAGGAGAACAGAGGGTAAGAAACGAACTTACCCCCATGCCTTCCATGGCGTATTCGAGAGCGTTGACTCGCATGGGTACGGTGCAGCCAGCAGCAGCGAGGCGAGCGGGCCGCAGTGAACCACAGACAGTTGATCCAAGTGAACCCCAGACAGTTGATCCAAGTGAACCCCAGGGGAACAGAAAGGAGAGAGTGACGAGGCAACTCACCCCCATGCCTTCCATGGCATATTCGAGAGCGTTGACTCGCATGGGTACGGTGCAGCCAGCAGCAGCGAGGCGGGCCTCGAGCAGGGAGAGAGGGCCGCAGTGAACCACAGATCCTCGGGAGAGCAGCAGGAGGGAGTCGATGAGCTCTAGCATGCGGAAGCTGGGCTGAGGGGGGGAAGCAGTTAGGGATGGGAGCAGGTGGGGGAAAGAACAGAGCGACTGAGAGTGGTGGGGGGAGAGCAGCAGGAGGGAGTCGATGAGCTCAAACATGCGGAAGCTGGGCTGCGAGGAGGCGTATGGGAGGGGGGAGAAGGTGGGAAGAGTGGGAACGTGCTTTCTGTTTAAGCAGGTCGAGCAGGGAGAGAGGGCCGCAGTGAACCACGGAGCCCCGAGAGAGCAGGAGTCGATTAGCTCTCTCATGCGGAAGCTGGGCTGCGAGGGTTGTAAGGGTGGGGATAGAGTGTGGGTGTGGGGGAACGGGGGGGGTGGGGATAGAGTGTGGGTGTGGGGGAACGGGGGGGGTGGGGATAGAGTGTGGGGGAACGGGGGGGGTGGGGATAGAGTGTGGGGGAACGGGGGGGGTGGGGATAGAGTGTGGGGGAACGGGGGGGGTGGGGATAGAGTGTGGGGGAACGGGGGGGGTGGGATAGAGTGTGGGGGAACGGGGGGGGTGGGGATAGAGTGTGGGGGAACGGGGGGGGTGGGGATAGAGTGTGGGGGAACGGGGGGGGTGGGGATAGAGTGTGGGGGAACGGGGGGGGTGGGGATAGAGTGTGGGGGAACGGGGGGGGTGGGGATAGAGTGTGGGGGAACGGGGGGGGTGGGGAAGGGAACCAGCTTCGAGCAGGGACAGAGGGAGAGCAGCAGGAGGGAGTCGATGAGCTCAAGCATGCGGAAGCTGGGCTGCGAAGGGGGGAGAAGGAGGGGAAGGGGAAGGGAGGGGGGTATTGAAGGGCTGGTCGTTCATTAGGTCAAGCAGAGAGAGAGGGCTGCAGTGAACCACGGAGCCCCTTGAGAGCAGCAGGAGGGAGTCGATGAGCTCAAGCATGCAGAAGCTGGGCTGAGGGGGGGAATAGGGGCTGGGGAAGAGTGTGGGGGAACAAAGGGAAGCAGGGGTAAGGGGGCAACAGAGGGGTGGACAGTGGTAGTGAAGAGTAGCAGGAGTGAGTTTATGAGCTCAAGCATGCGGAAGCTGGGCTGCGAGGGGGAGTAGAGGGGTGTGGGAGGGAGAAGGGTGGGGAAGGAAGAGGGTGAGAACGAGGGAAAAGGGGACAAGCAGCCGGTAGGAGTCCACAGTAGCAGCAGCAGCAGCATTGAGAGCCTACTTGTGGGTTAGTCCAGAAGCCTGACTCGGCCCCTCCCTGCTCTACTCTCCCACTCGCCTCACCTGGTGTAAGGAAAGCACGACCGTCCTTCCCCCCTCCTTGGCCATGCCTCTCAGCACGCCCAGCACGTTGGCAGCAGCAACACTGTCCAGCCCACTGGTGGATTCATCCAGCAGCACCACTCATTCACCCTCTTGTCTCCACCTTCCCAGCACCACTCCCCTGCTCTTACCTGGTGTATCGACAGCACCACAGTCCGCCCTCCCTCCTTGGCCATGCCTCTCAGCACGCCCAGCACGTTGGCAGCAGCAGCACTGTCCAGCCCACTGGTGGGTTCATCCAGCAGCACCACTGCTGGGTTGTGGACCAAATCCATTCCTATGGACACACGTCGTCGCTCCCCTCCTGATAACCCCCTCCCCCTGCTGCTGCTGGCACTTGTGCTGCCGATGCGTGTGTGGGCGACAGCCTGGGCCAGGGAAAGGGGGAGGAGTGGGGGGGAGGAATGGGGGTAAGACAAAAGAACGAGAAAAAACAGGGAGGAAATGGAGTTGCTGTTGTGGGTGCAGCCCACTGGTGGGTTCATCCAGCAGCAACACTGCCGGGCTGTGTACTAAATCCATGCCTATGGACACACGTCGTCGCTCCCCTCCTGACAGCCCCCTCCCCCTGCTGCGGCCGGCACTCGTACTGCCGATTCTGGTATGGGCGACAGCCTGGGGTGGGCAGGGGTAGGGAGAGAGCAGGGAGAGAGGGATGGGGGTAAGAGTTACTGGGAGGAAGTGGGGCTTTTGTGGGTGCAGCCCACTGGTGGGTTCATCCAGCAACACCACTGCTCGCCTCTTCTCTCCTCCAGACAACCCTCTCCCCCTGCTGCTGCATGTGCTGGTCGCCCCAATTCTGGTGTGGGCGACAGCTTGGGGTGGGGGGAGGGAGAGAAGGGCGGGGTGGGGGCAAGAGAAAGGAGATTTCTGAAAATTCTCCTAAATCGCTCGCAAGGTATCTAGGAGTGATGCTCCCTCTGAAACACCTGGATTACCGCGAATCGAAACATGTGCACGGCTGTGCGGACGGACGGCTACACTACAGCCCAAGCACCTGGAGGCCGAGGGTGGTGAGAAGGGCGACCACGCGGGCGAGCTTTGTCCGCGATGGGCAGGGTGGAGGGCAGGAAGAGGTGGGCAGAGAGAGGAGCGACTGACTGGCTCTGACACACCTATTACCACGAGCATCCCAGTTACTCGTGCGGGTATGGTACGCCTTACCTGCAGGCCGAGGGTGGTGAGAAGGGCGACCACGCGGGCGAGCTTTGTCCGCGACGGGCAGGGTGGAGGGCAGGCAGAGGTGGGCCGAGAAGAGGAGCGACTCGCTCTGAGGCCCAACAACCAAGCCATGAGCAGCACACTTACATGTGCCAGCGGCAAGCCATATGCGTGCAGAGCAGTGATCAGCCCAGTTACCTGTGGACCAAGAGTCGCAAGAAGAGTGTCCACACGAGCAAGCTTTTGAGGCGATTCAAAAATCACCTTGTTACATTGAGTCAACTCAAAAGTCGCAGTGATCAGCCCCGTTACCTGTAGACCAAGAGTGGCGAGAAGAGCGTCCACACGAGCAACCTTGTCAGCGAGCGGCAGGGAGGAGGGCAGGCGGAGATGAGCCGAGAAGAGCAGCGACTCGCGTGGGGTGAGGTGTGGGAAGAGTGCATCCTCTTGCTGCACGTAGCCTGGGTGGTAGAGAGGATTGAGGGATTGAAGGAAGAAGGGGGGAAAGGAGGAAATCGAAGGGGGAGTGGGCAAGGTTATGCGTGTCTCAGTTTACTGAAAAAAGTGAGGGAAGAGTGCATCATCCTGCTGCACGTAGGCTGGGTGGTGCGGAAGGATTCAGCACTGTTTCGCAACTGGAACACCCACCTGAGATTCACCTGAGCTCGCCTGCGCTCATGCGCTGCCCGTTCACCAGGATGCTTCCTCTCAGCCTGCCGCCACCACAGACACTTTAACCTCGCAAAGAGAGCACCCAGGGAAGCTGACCCATCTGAGATTCGCCTGAGTTCGCCTGCCCTCATCCGTTGCTCGTTCACCAGGATGCTTCCTCTCAGCCTGCCGCCACCAGAAACAGTCCACCTTCCAGCAGTGCCCAGAGAAAGTAACTCACCTGAGATTCTTCTGAGTTTGCCTGCGCTCATCCTCTGCCCGTTCACCAGGATGCTTCCTCGAAGTCTCCCCCCTTAAATCCGCCTGCCAATGCAGTCCAGCAGCGTTGACTTGCCCGCCCCACTCGGCCCCGCCACTGCCACCACCTGTCCTGGCCTCCGCCATCCCGACTGCCTTCTCCAACCCTCACACTCACCTCACCAGAAGCCACTCTCCCTACTCTCGGCATTCCAGACTCTCTGCTCTCTGCGTTCCAGACCCATTCGCCATGACTCAGAAAGGGAGCTCACCTGAGATTCGCCTGAGTTCGCCTGCGCTCATCGTCTGCCCGTTCACCAGGATGCTTCCTCGCAGCCGGCCGCCCTGAATCCGCCCTCCGATGCAATCCAGCAGCGTTGACTTGCCCGCCCCACTCGGACCCGCCACTGCCACCACCTGCCCTGGCCTCGCCACTGCACTCACGCCCACCAGCAGTGGGAGGAAATCCGCAGGCGCGTGTGGAGCAGCATGTGGCGCGTGTGGCGCATCAGCGCCAGCAGCAGGAGAGTGCAGAGCAGCAGCACCAGCTTCAGCTGGAGGTTGCAGAGCAGCAGTAGGAGCAGCATCAGCAGTGGCAGTCTTAGTAGCAGCTGGTATGAACGGCACCCACTTGGAGAGTGACTGGGTGATATAATCGAGGGAGGAGGACGCAGGTGCGGGGATGGAGTAGGAGAGGTTGTCGATCGAAATAGTGTAACACGTGCTGGTGGTAACCATACTCTGTTCATGGGAGTCCCACGTCTTGCTTGGGATAGCCTTCTTTGGCCCTCCTCCTATGCTGCTGCTGCTCTTGCTGCTGCTGCTGGTGCTCGTGCTCGTGCTCGTGCCAGTGGCATCAGAACCGCCTGTATCGCTCGAAACGCTCTCTGTGCTCTTGTTGCTGCTGCTCCTGTGCTGCTCTGATAACCCTCCGATTTGAATCTCGTTCTCAAGATCCCCACCACCAAAGCCAACACCAACACTGCCAGCACCATATTCAGGGAGCGGCAAAAACAATCCCCCTTTCCATGCGCTTGCTTCGCACACCAAGAAGCGCTCTCCAGGAGCAAAAGAGATACTCCCAGGCTCAGTGGCCTGACATCCATGCCTTGCAGATTGGCCGCCGGGCTGATAGTGGTGACCACTATAACGAGTATGACTGGCACTGCTGCTCCCGGCCTCGGCCTTTCTCAGAGCCAACTGCCTTCCCTTATCTGTCCCTCCTCTGTCACATAAGAGGGAATTCGAACCATCAAACGAGCCTCTTGGAGGGTTGTTCACTGCTGACGCAGCAGACGCCCGGGTCCTCGCTTTCCTTAGGGCCTCCACATCAAGCGCGCACACTGATGACATGGCACCGTGTCAGCGCTGATATGAGGAGTAGCTGACGTCGGAGGATGCACCGACCGTAATGAGCCAGTCCCACCCGACTGGCGGTTTTCACGTTTTGAGACGTCTGAAAATTCGAGGATTCGAACGAGCGTGGTGTGCGAGTAGCGATTGGCTGACTTTACCCTCAACAGATGGTTAGGTGGGTGTCGACGGTGCGACTACAATCAACCAGTGAGGGGAGAGTCGAGCACAGCTGCTGGATTTCAAGCCCACAGCAACTTTCTATTCGCTGAACAAGGAAGCGTGCAAAATACACCTCGGTAGAGAGATCGGCGTGCCTGTCAACAATGAATGTTGAGAGCATGGGTTCTGCTCTTATGACGAAGTAAGGACGCAAAGTGAGTGAGTTTCTCTGGCTCTTATTCAGTTCTCAGGAGCGACGCTCCGGGGTGTGCGACGAGTACGGTCTGAGCTGGCGACTACCCCGTGCGACACAAACTGAAAACGACGACGACGTCGTCTGCGACCTGTAATCGGCAATGGCACGCGATAACGACGGGAAAGAGGCTGGGGAAAGAGCTGCGAGTGTTTAATCAGGAATAGCTGTAAGGGAGAAGAGCCATTGCGACTATTATCGATTCGCTGGCACGGACCGATTGGTTGCGAAGCCATTGTGATAACGACGGACGTGATTAGCTCAGTTGGAAAAGTGCAATCCGTGTGGAGGGAGATTGAAATCGCAGGCTGTGTGAGAGCGAATGCGACGACGAGCAGTCACGAGCCGTCAACTGCACGGCGACGAACGATCAGCATGCGACGCAATCGCAATCGCACGTGTCAATCGCCGGCGACAACCGCAGGCCAGTGTAGCGAGCCCGAGAACCGCCGACCAGCACGAATGAAGAAATCAACGAAACGAGAAGAGCGGTCAAAAGGAAACGATTAGTGGTCAGCGACTCAGCGGTCACTGATCAGGACTAGAAAATGACCTGTGACGGCAGGGCGTGACAAGCAAGGCCTTGCATCTAGAGAAGGAATCTGGCATAAAGTGAGCTCGATTTCAGTCTACTGCTTACGGAAAGATCCAATCAATTCTCAAGTAGAGGGAGATGGCGACATTCCCTAGGCGATTCACGCTGATGGCGACGATTTCAAGGCAGTACGAAAGTTAGCTGATATCCACATTTTCACCGTACTGCATCGTACTGTAACTCTCTGCAACATACTGCGTTTTGCATCCCCGCAGTGTTCGCATTTCGGGTTGCCAGGGACCACATCCTCGTTACAGTGTCGTCGTCTTCAACGTAAAGGTGATTTCGGGATCTGAATTTTGGTAATGGGGGCGATGACTGCTTTTACTAGAACCTCATCGCCATACTAGAACAACCATGTTGAGATATTATAATTTTTTAACACACATTGTGTTTTTTAAAATTGTGTATTGTGAAAGCGAAGCTGCTTGTACTGCACAATTGGCATCGTCGAAGCGCGCTAAACGCCCTTCTCCAACTACAAAAACCGTGGGTTGGAGTTCATTTCCCTCCACCCACGCTTCTCGATTTTCCAAACGGCTCACTCAACATTCCCACCACCCACCCCAGAGTAAACCGCCTTGCTACAGCCACTTGGATAGGGTACATCTTGTGAAACTATGAGCAGAGGAATGAATTGACTAAGTCAGAGTTGGGTACAAATACAACCCTAGCAAACTGTACCCCATATGTGCTACCCCACTATAGCCTACAAACATGCATCAGCTATAATAATCTGACACACCCCCATAGGCAAAGTGGGGGAGAACAAGGGGTCACAAGACCAGTCAAGCAAAGCAAAACAAGCTCAGGGTGGATCACAAAGTCACCACACAGTCCGAGCACAAGAGCAAGGCCAGAGGCCAGTTCACATGCAGGAGTAAAGACATATATATAAAACTAGACAAGCAAGAGCAGGTATATATATGTCAAAGTACAAGTAAAGTCAAGAAGAGAGCAAGTGAGGCAAGACAGGTACAAGACCCAGCTGGGTACAAAAGCGCTGATGGTCACAAGGCGCAAGTGCCTTGGTGAACACATCAGCAGTGTTGGCCTCAGAGGCCACGTAAGCAAGTCGCAACTGACCACGCTGCTGCAGCTCACGAGCAAGGAAGTAGCGGAGAGCAATGTGCTTCGTTCTGTGCTCCAAGCGCTGCTCTCGACACAAGGCCAACATGGCCTTGTTGTCTACGTACAGCACTGGAGGAGAACGAGGCAGCTCTCCAAGGTCAGTCAGCAGGTAGGTGAGCCAGCGAAGCTCCTGTGCAGCCATGGCCCCGGCGTAGATCTCAGCCTCACAACTGGAGCCGAGAACCGAAGACGAGCGAGTAGACCGCCACGAGACAGAGCCGGAACCAAGGCTGAAGGTGTAACCCTGTGACGACCGCTGCGTAGCCTGGTCGTCAGCCCAAGAAGCGTCTGCGTGCCCAGTAAGGACCACTGGACTCCGCCCTCCAAGCACTAGCCCCATGCCCGACGTACTGCACAGGTAGCGCAATACCCTCTTCGCTGCAGCCATGTGCTCTGGTCGGTGTCTCCCAGGAGCAACATAGCGTGCAAGGATGCTCAGAGGGTATGCAAGGTCAGGTCGAGTGCAGGTCATCAGGTACATGAGGCAGCCAACAAGCTCTGCATACGGACCACTCGACTCTACGGACTCATCCGAAGGCAGAGCTGAGAGTGAGTGGCGAGTAGGCAGAGGAGTGGCCTGAGGCGAGGAGTACGTGAAGCCGAAGCGCTGAAGGACCTGCTGCACCATGTGTGACTGAGTCAGGGTAATGGTGCGGCGTGCTCTGTCCCGAGTGATCTGCAAGCCAAGGTAGCTGCGCAGTTCACCCAGGTCTGTGCACGTGTGTCTCTTCAGCAGCTCGGACTTCACGTAGGCGAGTCCAGCAGTGTCCGCTGTGGCAAAGACCAAGTCGTCGACGTACACGAGGATGTAGAACGGCGGCAGGGAAGTGTCGGTGCGAAGAAACAGCGACGGGTCAGCAGTAGAAGGAGCAAACCCAAGAGCCGCAAGCGTAGTCCTCAGTGTGTCGTGCCACTCACGCGGTGCCTGGCGGAGACCGTAGACTGGCCGTCGGAGGCTCCACTGGGTACCAGGAAGGAAAGTCCCAGTGAAGCCAGGCGGACGGCGCAGCCAGATCTCCTCGTGCAGGCTACCCTGCAGGAACGCAGTGCTGAAGTCGAGAGAGTGAAGCTCGTAGTCGCGCTGAGCGGCAATGTGCAGCAGCACCCGAAGAGTGGTCATCTTCGGGGTGGGAGAGAAGGTCTGAAAGTAGTCAACTCCCTGCCGCTGACTGAAGCCACGAGCCACGTAACGCGCCTTGAAGACAGGCGGCGAGCCCGGCGGCCGCTTCACCCTGAAGATCCACATGCCACTGACGATGTTCGCCCCAGGAGGGGGAACCGCGTCAACGTAGGTGCCTGTGGACTTCCAGGAAGCCATCTCTGCATCCATAGCTGCCTGCCACTGAGAGGAGTAGGGACCCTCTACGGC